ACAAAATACGAGGCATAAAATTTTATTTAAAAAAAACTTAATATCCTACAAATAGGAAAATATCTCATATGTTATTTTATGATAGTTTTAGAAATTTATTCAACTAAGTCTTTACTTTATTTTTCTAGGTCTAAAATTGTAATATCTTGTATTAATTACATCTTATCCTTAATCTCTCAAGCTGAGTTGTTGCAAATCGTAAGTCATCTAAATTTCTGATCTTTAATAATAATCCATATGAATCATTAGTAAAAAATCTCCTAAAACCTTTTGAGAAGAGAGGGATTGTTATATCTTTGAGTGTTAACATTTTCTTTTGTGTTTTTAAGTATTTCTCTATATTGCATTGATGCCAAGAATGAGTGTTTTTCTTTTGTTGGAATATGGATATACATTGATTTTCTCTCTTCTCCCTCAAACCAAATAACTTAAACATGAAGAAAATAAAATTTTAAACCGAAACATATAAGTGTCAAACTAAAGAAACCAAAATAGAAATTGAGAAAAATCTCAAGGCATATAGAGTACAAGGAAAAAAAAAAACTTTATTTGTAACCCACTTTCAATTTTGATCCAAAGAGTACAAGGAAAAAAAAACTTTATTTGTAACCCACTTTCAATTTTGATCCTTTTATTTTTTCATAAAATCAAGCTTCAAACCAATGACAAGATGTTTTTTTTTTTTTTACACTACAACAACTCAATAATATGAAAATTAAAATAAATTTACACTACGACAACTCAATAATATGAAAATTAAAATAAATTATCAAACTCAATACCTAATAAACAAATATAGATGAGTGAAATTACAAAAAATCATTATTACAATCCATATTAAATTCACACATAACCCACAATCTATATAGTAAAACCATTTTTTTTTGTCTTTTTAATGAGATGATTATTTGTGTTAAAGAAATTGATCTCTTCCAATGCTTAATATTATTATTTCATAAATTCCCTTTCTCAATTACTGCCCATTAATTTGAGTGAGATCCCATCAAAGTACAAATTTGTTCTATGATTTATATGCCAAAATAAAAATGAATGAATTATTAAGATAAAAAAATAAAACAGAGAGAAAGAAAAATTGTAAACAAACCAACCTCTCGTAAAATCTTACCTGAATTAATCAACAAATCTATAATAAATATTTAATTGGTAAAACTAAAAGTATAGATGTGTAATTGACAAAAACACTAAAATTTAGGGTTGTTAATTGAAATTTATTTATAAAATATAAACTAACTAGATAGGTGGTCTGTGGTATACCCCCAACCAAGTTGATTTTTTCATAACATAAAAAAAAGATGTTTAAATGATGATAGAGTCAATCTAGCTTAACTTGTCTAACATGCGATCTAAGATATGAGATTGAATAACTTTGTAAAATGAAAAGTGATAAAAAAAAAAATCATAAATTTTAAGGTCCAGTAACTTAATGTCAAAGTATGAAAGTAAAAAAAATCAATTTCAAAAAAAAAATATTAAAGAAAAAAGCATGAGTCAACCTGAGTTAAATCTACTAACCCGCCAAAAGCAATATGAGATCAAAATTTTTTTAAAAAAAATATTTAAAAGAAGGACCTAAAAAAAATATCAAAGATTAATTAAAAAAAAAACAATGAAAAAAACCCCGAACCCCCGAACCAAAACATGTTAACTTGACTAACTCGCACCCAAGATGACCCCATAGAAAAAAGATTGGATAAAATCACAAAACTCAAGAATCAATAATTTAATGCCAAAGAATAAAATTAAAAAAAATAATTTTGTAACAAAAGGTTAAAATAAAACCTTATTCAACCCAAGTTAACCCAACTCAACTAACTCCTTACCTATAATATGAGATAGGAATAACTTCACAAAAAGAAAAACAAAACAAATAACAAAACTCAAAGCCTAATAACTCAATTTCAAATGATGAATTTGAAAAATAATCAATTTTAAAAGGGACTTCAAAAAAAGATGAACTTAAACCAATCTAATCTTTGAAATAAGTGGTCCAAATCATTAGACTAATATTACCCTATAGAAGATAGACATGGGAAAAAAAAAAAGCAGAATTTCCAATCATAAGAAATTAAAAATTAAAAATTAAATAACAATTAAAATAATAAGAATCAAATATAATATAAAAAATAAATGAAAAATAATTATGGATTAAGTTGAAAAAAAATAAATGAAAATATTAAAAAAAATAGCAATAACAAAATAAGGATCAAAACTGGATACAAAATTAAATAAAAAATAAATCAAACAAAGGATAAAAAAATAGAAATAAAGAAATAAGGACAAAAATAAATAAAAAAATAAAGTAGAATAAAATGTTTAGAGATGAAATTGAAAAAAACAATAAACTTTTAAAAAATCCAAATCAAAACTAATAACAATCAAAACAATAAAAAAAAATGTGATAAAAATAAAAACAGGAGGATACATTTGAATTTTTGAAGGTTCATGTTGCGATATTGCGGTCACACAAATTAATTACCCTAGCTTAAAACACACAAGATATTATAGAGTAAGTAAGGAATCGATCCCACAAGGAAAATTTAGTTAAGATTTTTATGTCGTATGTTATGCAATTGAGGGGGTTTGATTTGTAATGATTTAAACTATGACAGAAATTAAACTAGCAAACAAAATCAATTAAAACTGAAATTTATCAAGAAAAAAAATCTTAGTTGCAAGCATACATCCACCTGCAGAAATTAGAACCGATCCTTGAAATGAAACTCTAGTTTATATTCTAAATTTTTTATCTTTTCTTAATGTTGATTAGTTAACAGATTCGTTGTAAAACTAATCTTAACCAACAAACAATCATAATGTGTTGCACTAATGATTTATTCCAATGGCAGCCTTAAGATCTAGATAAATTCATTAATCTTAACAACCAAGCTATCCGCAGCTTATGTTGCTTTGATCAAATATTCTCCCTAAATTTAATAAAGTAGTTCCGCTACAATTAACAAGTTTAGTCATAAGTATATATACCACAACTTCGGTTTTGATATCAAACTTAGCAATAGATTGTTTAAAATAATAACTTAGAGTCCACTCTAGCAATTAAGATAAAGAGTCATAGGAAATATGCATAAGAAAACAAGCATACTCATTCATAATACAATCTAAAAATAAATGGAAGAATAAATCTCACAGTTCTTGAAATCTGAAAGTTTTTGCATCATTGCAACCATCAAAACAAGTTTAGCCTTGCATATCTATTGAACAACTACTCCTAAAGATAGAAGAAAGCATTATTTCTGGTTGTAGAGAGGAGAGTTTATGTCTCTTCACTTGTGGTTGCTGCCTCCTTTTTGCCCTCTTTCCCTTCTTTTTTTTTTTATATATATATATATGTTAAGAAACCCTAGTCCCTATTTAACAAAATAGTCCTTCCTTAAGTTGACAGTTTATATTTAAGTACTTCAACAACTATTTTTCTAAAAATGAGAACTAGCCTTGCATTAAAACTTTAACTCAGAGAAGCTAAATTGCTGAAATAAAAACTTGAACGCCAATTTCGATGCTTCAAAATGTAATTTGGACATGTTCCTTCACGAAACATGTTTACTAGTAAAATTCAATTATCATCTTTAAAAAATTATATCTCCGTCATATGACATCTTTTTTACCTAAAATGTTTTGAGTTTATAGACCTTTTAGTCAGGAATCCAAAAAAATTAAGTTTGCATCAATTGGACCTTTGTAGATCCATATATTTAAGTTGAAATGACTGAAGGTCAACATTGACAGATTACGAGATTTGACTTTGAAAGTTGCGATTTTCATGCTCTTATTTATTTTATTTTCTTACCTTAAATGTACAAAAAGGTATGGATGTTATCTTTTTAATGCCACTGGAATTACTTCATTTCGACCTCTAGAGCTCACGCTCTACACAAAACATCGACTGAAGATCAAATCTATCAATTATCTTTAATTTACTCATTTTTGCATCTTTTATCCAAAAGTGCCTTCAAAACATAAATCATAGAATATTTAGGCATTTTATATATAAAACATGGGAAAAAAACTAGTTAAATATAGGTGAAACTATCGAATAATATAGTTGCATCAGCTCAACACAAACACTCAGGCTTAAAAAAGAAAAAAGAGAAGAAGGAGAAAAAACTCAACAACTGTTGAACTATTATGAATCTTAATACACAATCCATAACATTAGATGTGTCATCACCAGATGAGTTGGATGACATGAGAGTTGATAGTTTTTAGTCATCACCTAACTCCCCAATTCTGCTAGAAAGTCGTAAGGAATGTGTTTACAAGCTTTTTTATTAATATTTTCATATATAAATTTATAAACAACTCTAGGTATCTAAGTAATTAAAATAAAAAAACCATAATATAAAGATAAAAATCATTTCAAATCAACCTCTTTTTTTTTTATTTTAAGGTTCACTTTATCATCTAAAAAAAATATGAAAAAAAACCTTTATCCAAGTTCAATAATTTTTTTACCTTTAAGGGTATTTTCATCATTTAACCAAATAAAAAAAACCCTTAAACAAAAAATTAATATTTTTTTTATTTTTAAAAACAAGAAAATCATTTTACTATAAGACAAATAGACAAAATTAATACCAATTAAATTGCTAATAACTACTTAATCCCAAGTAAAAAATGATTTTACCTTATTATTTAGGTTTCTCGTTTTAAGTAAATACACTGTATTAATCCATGTAATCCATGGAGTATAGAAAATCATTAAATAAATATTTAAAACAAAATATATATAACAATAAAAAATTTGAGGTCCATATTTAATATAATCAATAAATAATATGATATTTTTAAATTTTTTATGATTTTTTTAAAAAAATTTACCTAAATTTTTTTAAAAAATACTTTTTAGAAAACAAGTTAAAATTTTTTTGATTAAAATTTTTTTTTGATTAATTAATATTTTTAATATAAATAAATACTTTCTTAAAACCACATTTCGGAAACAAAAACAGCCTTAGTTTTCTTATAATAAATGAACCTTCCTCTTCGATCCTTCGTTGTCTCTTAAATTGCAACTAGGTACCGCACTCACTAGTCTCTCCAAAAACCCTAAAAATCTGTGTTTTTCTCCCATAAACCCCATACGAAACAAATCAATGGCAGAAACCGAAATCCCAAACGAACCCGCATTACCCACTAAACGCAAACTCGATGAGGATCCATTTCCTGAAAACAAGCAAGAAAATCACACCAACAAATCGCAAAAGCTTGAGTCTCTCACCAACAACTCACCAAACACCCAAGAGAAAACCACTGATAGAACGCAAACTCTAGAAGCTTCTTTCAATAACCAAAATGACACCGTACAGAAAGTGGTGGAAGAAGAAGAAGATGGTGATGATGAAGATGGTGATTATGAAGAAGAAGAGAACGGAGAGGAAGTGTTGGTGGATCGGAAAGGGAAAGGGATATTGATTGAAGAAGATGAAGATGACGACTCGAGTGATGATGATGGTGATGAATCAAGTGAATTGGACGGTGGCGATGATAGTGAGGAGGCGGAGGAGGATGATCCATTGGCTGAAGTTGATTTGGATAATATTTTACCGTCGAGGACTCGAAGAAAAGCGGTGCATCCTGGAGTTTATATTGCTAATGACAATCACATGAATGATGATGATGATGATGATGACAGTGACGCGTGATTTTAAAGCAAGGTTAGTTTTGTTTTAAAGAAAACTGAGGTTAATTTCATTAGTCAAGTAGTGATTAGAATTTAGTGATTTCGCAATATATGTTGTAGCAACCTTGAATAGATATTTTGTTTATTTTCCATTTGAATTTTGAATTTTGAATTTTGAAATTGATCATTGTGGAAATGTAGATGTGGTAGTCTTTCGTTTCTCTTATTACAAATTTATTGTTTAATCTCTGTTTGTAGACAAGTTGGTGATGTTATCGTAGAGGGTGTTTGCCTTCAAAACTTAGTGGTAATGCTGAAGAGTTAAAGAGGAAGAGATGCTAGGGGAATTGTGTTAGTATGTTCTTTTTGGATGAACAATCTAGAGGAATACAACAAGCTAGTTTTTAAGTTGTAATGATGGTGATGCTCAGTAGGATCCTTTCCTTCTAAAGTTGGTAGGAAAAAAGATACTTTGGTGATTGAGATGTGTTGGAGAAAAACATCCACCTAGGTTGGTAACGACATGATAGTGTAATAGTTTTCCTTAACCAGGCCACAATTGGCACATATGATTAATGTTCCTCACTGAGTCTAATTGACGTCTTGGGAATAACAGAAAATCCATGAATCCATGATTTAGGAAAATGATTAATGAATTTTAATTGCTGTCTAATAGAAGCTTTCTTCTCTTGGAAAGTATGCCACTAAATGCTGTCCATTATCAACAAATGTCGTGACTTTCGCTAGTTCATCTGGGTATAGCAACTACATTGAATAACTCATCTGAGTTTCATATACTGTTCTTCCCTGAACTGTGTTGGGGAGAGTACAGAATGTGATTTCATTTTATTTGTAAATTATTGGTAGCAAGTTCGAAACCCTGCATCAGGACTTGGAAATGAGTGGGAAAATATGCAAATGCATGGTGATTGTTGAATATGAGTAAACTATTTATGAGATTATGTAGTCCTGTAAATTAGTGGTAAAGAGGTAGGTATATGTACCTTTGTGTGGTTTCTTGTGGTTTAGCGATTCTTGACAAACTTTTTGCAGGGACTTCTATGCATGCTTAGCAATGTAATTGCTATGTTGGTAAATGGTTCAAAGATAATGGAGTAACAAACATGTCTCACAGTTACCTAATTTGCTGAAATCCCTAGAATTATGATCTGGATCGCATGATCCCAACCATGGTGTGTTTGTGATCTAGATTGTGAAAATTGGCCACCCTTTTTTTTTTATATTTCACATGGATTTACAAGTATTTGTGTTTAAATATAGCATTAAACTTGTAAAACCTTTATGAGAAAGGAAAAATTAAGATTTGAAGTTATTGTTATTAATTGGAATCTAAAAGGTTGCATATTTAGGTTGGACTTTTCAATTTGTTACCTTTTAAAAAAATAATAAAGAAGGGAAAAAGATAATTATCTTCAGCTGCATGCATGAAAAAAGATAATTATCTTCAGCTGCATGCATGGAAAAGATCGAGAGGTTTTTTGGGGAAGAGGTAACTTGTACACAATTTTCAAGGCCCTGGGATGGAAATATCTTGTTTGGAAGTTTTAATTTACATGCTCCCATACAATACTTTTTATCTTTTGATAATTAGAAAGCAGCACATGTCATGATTATCTTAATAAACTGATCTAATGGCTAATAACTAAAACAATCTAATAGTTTGTTAATAGGAAATATTACTTCTATCTCAATTAAATGACATATGCATACCCGTACCACGTACCATAATGTATCGTGTTCCAGCTAACATTGACCTGTCGAAAAGTACTGAGGGTATGGATTGCAGTTGCATAACCTTAAAAAAAAAGGTGTATTGAAGTTTGCTTTGATATGGAAAGTCTACTTTCTGGAATTGAAGTTGGTTTGGTTTATTAGTAAGCCACTATAAATTGGCAATATTACGGTGCATGTCTATATAGTTGTGGCTTGATTAAACACACACAAGGAATCTAGGTGTATTCTAGTCTTCTTTTTGTATAACTCACATTGATTTTTATCATAGGGATCCAATTTTTGAAAAACTAAAGGTCTGTTTACTAACAAGAAACTATTTTCTTTTTTCATTTCTAGTTTTCTTTTCCATTGAAAAATTGGAAAGCGTGTACAACTATTTTTTATAAAAAAATCAAAATCATAATTTATAATAGTCTTTTCAATATTTTGTATTTGTGATAATTTAATTGTAAAATGTTAATTTTATTGTATTCAAATTAAATTTATATATGAAAAAGCTATATTGTTAACTAAAAAAAACATTATGTTAGATTTATAATAAAAAATAAATTTATGATTTATGTTAGATTTATAATAAAAAAATAAATTTATGACACCAGCTATATATATATAACATTCCTAAAAAGTATTTATATATAGAAGAAGAAAAATTGTAATGGTCATGTCTTTTCTTCATTTAAAAACCACTGGAAATTTTGTAAAGAAAAACTGTGAAGTACCTCTAAAATGTGTTCCCCAAACCCAGTAAATATTTGGAAAACTAGAAAACTAGTTTTCTATTTTTATGAATGGAGAAATGTTGCATTTGAACAGAAGTTCCAGTTTTTATTTTTCAAACTTCAGCTATCCAAAAGATTAGAATATTACTCTATTTCTCAACAGCCTCTAACTTGTCACTGTATTTGGTTCCTGAAGATGTGGTCCAACGAGTGCGTGGTGATTCTGCCCCACACATCTTATGGTTGATTAGCACCAGTAGCAATCTTTAAAGTCAATCATGAATTAGCTTGTGGTTTTGGTGAGACCTTATAAACTTTTATTTTTATTCTAAAAGGGCAGTGTAGTTTACCTTTGATGAAAAATCATCTTTTATTTGAGCTTGAAGTCGCAGAATATGCCTCACATGATTGGCATATTGAAGGGTTGTCAAATCTTTATTTGGTTGGTTTATAGTGTATGTACAGAGCCAGTTGATATATCAATTTCCTGAAATATAAATTCAACGATCTTGGTTTGAGTTTGATTTAGAGTTGTAATATTATAGTCAGTCTTATGGCCAAATATCCACCACCACTTCCCTGCTCCAACACACAACTAAACTTTTAAGCTTCTTTCTGTGCAAATTTCTGGCCTCTGGATTTCCTGGAGAAAAACTTTGGTATTTGTCTCTTTCATTTGCTATCTCTTTCTTGTATTCTTTCCTGTTTATATCCATATCATATTTCCTCACCTTGACCGGCCACTCTAAATCATTGGCCATAGCAAGTATTGCTAGGACTCCATAAGAGGGAAATGACCTACTGTTATCTGCCTTTTGATGAATTGTTCTTTAAGCTCTAATCTACTTCAGAGACGAAGTGAGTACACTGGGGGTGTTCCATATGTTTATTTTGTGTTCTAACTTTATACATTTCCTACAGGCTATGTGTTTTGATGCTGAACTTTAATCTTATTTGTGTGTTTAAGCTCGACTCAAATTAACCTTACCTCCTGGCTATTACTATAGCTTTATCAGGTTCAGTATGGACCCTTCCCTTTTTAAGCTACATGAGAGTTTTGGCCTCAACTCTTTGCACCAAGGACAGCACTTGCAGCGAAGACCTTCATACTTGCTTGTGTATGTAGTTGTGTGTATGTATGGCCTGTGCCAGGCCTATTTTTCCTGATTTTTCAAGCAGGGATTGTGCTGGGAGATGGGTCTTGGATGACTTGTTGCACATTTTTTTATGTGTTATACCATTCATGATGACCTTATATTAATCTGAGTTGCATTAGGGGTTAGGCCCTTTAGTGTTTGGAGTTGCATTTTATTTCTGCTCCACTCGTAACAGCATTTTTTGCTTTCACAGTTATTCTCAACAACGGAGTAGTCCAGAATAATTAATTAGCAAATTAGAACACATTGATTTGCTTATCATATAAACTTGAAATACAGATACTTTGGTGTTTGATATTCAGTCTAAATTCGATTTCCTTGTTTTCTAAAGCCTTTGTTTATGCCACTTGGTTACTTCGGTGTGTTATGGATGTTGAGATACCTTCAGGCGCAGTCTAATTAATTACGTTAGTGTCTCTTAAGCTGTTGTTAGCCACACTCAGGCAATGTGTTGCGCATTTATGGCCCTCACCGGACCAAGCACTTGGCGCACTCCTGAATTGCATTTCTCAAACATGAGGATTGTCCGGAACATGAAGATCAACTTGCATGACTTGCTGGTGCTTCGATCGCCTCATGATCTTAAGGTCGTCTTTTAGCTTTTGCTTTAAGCACTTGCTTGTGTTTGTTCTCATAGTTCTTCACATTGGCCTGCAATTTAATGAAAGTATGGATGCTGGCACACCTTAGGTGCATATTTCATGAAATCAAAATCAAGCTATAGTCTATTTCTACGCACTCAATGTCGAACTCCTACGCGGAAATCAACTCCTCTAAAATGGAACTGGACCACCCATGCATGGATTTAGGAAGGAAAGAAATGAATTCATTGATTACATGGCCAAAACCGTGTCACAGTGGAACAGATAGTAACTGCGAAAACACTGTAGGAGTGGCAGAATTTTGGTGTGCGTCTTATCATTGATGTTGGCATTCGGCTTTAGGAGTACGCAAGGTCAAATAATTGCCTGAATTCATGCATTATCCCTTGGTCCATGTTCTTAGGATATGTATAGCAAGGGACCATGGTCCATAGGCCTGGCGTTCATAGTCTTGGTGGACTCAAATCCAACTCCTTAACCCCTTAGTTGCCCCCCTCCCTACCATTATTCCTTGGATGTGAGGAATTGTGATGCCCACTCAATCTGGTTATTGGCTTGCTGAGGTTTAGTTTATGCGCCACTTCCAAGGGGTCTCATGCTGGACCAGCTGACGACATAGAGGAAAGCATATGATAGGTTCACCATCCGCCAATTAAAATCTCACTTCTACAAAAGATAGGAAGCTGACATCGACCGACCATTTAGGTGGTCGTTGGCCTCCCTTCATTTCTCTTATCTCTTCTTGTATGTACGAGAAGACCATGACCCCCTTTTCTGTCTCTGTTGCTCTCCCTCGGATTACTTGCAGGAAAGTTTCGTTGTGGGACAATACTTTTTGGCCATCTGTATCAATAAAAGGGACATTTTGTGTTCCATCTCCCTTTCACCGAAGTCCGATCCCTATTTCCTTCCTGCAATTATACGTGCCATGACTCAGGACCACCATGCATTGCCATGCGTTATGATGCCGCCTGCCTCCATCTGAATTCAATTTCCTCGCAAAAGTTTCACATAACATGAATCACATACGTGTATGCAAGCACCTGTGCGTGCTTGTGTGTGTGTTTTGGTATGAAGAAATTACTGCGGCATTCCTACTGCATACATGTCCATTTCGTGCATAGAGAAGGAATCGGGCTTCTAATTTGTTGATTAAATAGTATCTATTATAAGCTTACATGACTCACATGGAAGCCATTCTAGGAAATGATGGGAGGGGCAAATGAAGATGGAAATGATCAAGGTTGGTGACTCCTTTAAAACAACATTTTTTCCCCCTTCCCGTTCGCCTTTCATTTTTAATTATGCCCTCCTCCTTGTAATTATACGCAAGTGGGGCTACAATTTGATTTGATTTAGCCGACCTTTTGGCCCAACAACTCCCTCTTAAAATTTAGTAAATATCAATGTTTTTGGATATTGTTCGTTGTGCTCCCAATAACGTGGTTGCTTAATTGCGTAGTTCTTGCTACTTGATTTTGATCAGGTTGAGGGCTAATGCCTGACAATATTTGCTAGTGAGTAGAAACACTTCCCCTAGTTTGATCCAGAAGCACCTTTTTTCTTCGTTTTTTTTTCCTTTTTTATCACATGGTGCTTTTCATTCTTGAACAGGTGAGGACCTTTCTTTTCATCATAAACCCTATAATTCCTACAACCACAAAGTCATGTCAGGCAGTCAACTATGGCAGCTAAGCTTTATTAGAAGTGGATCTTAGCCTTTGTCCAAGAACTCATGCTTACGAACCAATTAAGCAGGCAGTGCTATCTCATCATTTAGATAGCACATGAAACGTTCTAAAC